GAGAAGAGGACAACAAACGAGGGGCTGTGACAAACTGTTTCGTCGGAGTTTCACCGAATAATCAGGAGGCTGATGTATATATTATATATACTGTCTCTTATACACATCTAGATGTGTATAAGAGACAGGAGAGGTACTGGTGGTTTAATACACGATGTGTTGTTATGGATAGACTCAGGCGTTTACACGCAGAGTAAGCCGACTCAAGTCAAGAGAATTAAGACAAAAAGTCAAGAGAGTCAAGACGAAGAGTGCCTGCAAAGCAAGCCTGAGCGTATCTGCTTAATGCTGGCACGTTGAGAAAGGCCCGGAAAGAGGGGCTCTCACTGCAAGGAAAGAAAGGGGAGTAGGTAGGTGGCTCCCGATGGGACTACATGCTTCATGGCTCGATCCACTAGAACCCCCAGAATGACTGTTGGTGGGATTGGTAAAGTGGGCAGAGGGAAGACAGTGGATTGAGATGATGACGCTAATTGATGATGATGACGATTTCTATGGAGGATTATGCAACAGGGGGGGGGGAGGGGGGGAGGATGAGAAGGAGGGGGAGAAGGAGATGAAGACAAAGACAACGATCAAGAGAAGGAAAGTGGTAAGGGTGGGGTGGGAAGGGAGGGAGGGGTAGGAGAAGTCACCTGAAACCGCAGCTCAACGAGAAGAGGGCAATGCTTCCCAACAGCTCTCAAGATATCATCAGTGGCCGTGGGCAAAGCCAGCCGTTCCAATCTCGTCATGAGCTGTAATGCTCCCTCCAGAACGACCTCGTCCACCTTCACGACACCCATCCAGAAGAGCACGTCAACCACTACACAGGAAAAACTTCTTCTTTTTTTCTTTTTTTTTTCCTTTTTTTTTTTGTTTCCTTCAAACCCTGACATCGTTCACACACATTTCATAGGACAACAGTCCCCCTTGTGCTCACATGAACACACTGCTGGCATTTACTGGGTGATTTGAGCTTACAAAAATTTGGACCATTTCTTGATTTATGCGTGTCATCCTTGCGCAGGGGCCATTTACTAATTTACCCTTCTCTGTATCGTTCCCATTTTAACGGATGTCCCGAAGGACTACTGCACAGGAAAATCTAATATTCATTACTTTTATTATAAATTTATTAATTTATTGTTTCAATCATGCTTGCGGCGCATCATGTGCGCGCCAATTGCGCACTGGCGGCGCAATGCGCATTGCGCACGTGCCGCGCCGCAAGGGAAAAAATAAGGGTAACTCGGAAAACAAAAAGAGTTGCGGACGGGGTCTGAAGGGAAGTTTCCCCGCCTTGCCAAAAATGAGGAACAGGCCGTGCAAATTTTCTTTTGGGCCACGCCAAGGGCCAAATTTGTTTTTGGGTGGAGGCAGTCCAGGACCCATGGCTCTATGGGTTTCACAGTGTATTCATCGGATATTTCACGTCTGGTGCAGTCATTATGAAGAGGAGGCTCTATGAGCACAGCCTTTTTGTTAAAAAGAAAAAAAGAAAAAAAAGAGGATGTTCCAACAGTCCTCGTTTTGCTTGAAATAGGAACGAGAGGAATGAGCGCTCTCTCTCTCTCTCTCTCTCTCTCTCTCTCTCTCTCTCTCTCTCTCTCTCTCTCTCTCTC